TATGTTAATTCTGAGTGTAAAAAAAATTAGACATCTGGCATAAAATATTTTTTGGGGGGAAGCCCATTTAAAAATTTTATCTAAAATGTTTTATCTACAAAAAAAATCCAATATATATGTACATTATAGCAACACAGAGGCATAGGAACACAGTGCAATTTAAGACTAAGTGCTGTGACTTGGTGATAATTCTGCCCAGGGCCTGTGGAAATGTGGGCCACCATTGGCTTTGGGGCTGCTAGCCTAAAGCCTCAGGCTCCAACGTTACTCTGACCTCTCTCAAACCACTTTCAAGTTAAGGCTGCATTTAACTTAATATACCATTAGGGGGTAGCAGAAATACTGTCTGAACAGAATGAGATTTGGAAAAAAAAAAAAAAAGCATTACAGCGTTCGGATGGTTTGGTGCATGGGTATTTTTGGAGCTGCACCAATCCTTGGCCATTCAAGCAAGACCTGCTCATCTGCTGTTGAGGAAGTTAGTTTGCAGCTGGCACCGCTTCCGCGCTCCCTCTCCATAGTTCTCCGGCTCTCAGCGGCCTCGGGCAGGTTACCCATCCCTGCTGCACAGGGGTGCAAAGAGCTGCACTGTTTTTGGTGTTCACATGCACTTGCCTCTTCTGCTCTTTAAACAGCTGGCAGGAGGGTCAAGCACAACATGAGCTGACCTTCTCCCTCCCTCCCAAGAAAACAGCAGTACATATTGCTTAACTGAGAGCACAGAGTAGCCATGAGTTAAAATCCACTGCATTCTTCAGGGTCAGTTTTAATTTCCATTCTTCATACCACGAGTCACAGTTTAAGGCCTTCAACACACACCACAGTACAGTTATCTCTTCCCTCCTTCACCCAGCCCCACTTGGGGATGTAAACAGAACAGCTCCAACCTTTGCACTAAACACTAGTCTCTTTAGTGAAAGATGAAGCTTGATACTTCACACACACACTTCATGGGTATGCTTTAGATACACATCCAAATTTTCAAACAGGAAAACAACTTGCAAGACGGGCAATGCTTACAGGAATACAAGCCGTTACAATGACATCTGAGGGTTCGTTGTGTTGGTTTTTTTCCTTTTTTTTCCCCCCAAACCTATGTACAAGTTATATAGGTCATATGACTGGCGCTTTTTCCCTAACAGTGATCCAACACCTCTTGGGTGCTGGAGTCAGCAGTTTACCCAATGAGGGGTCATATTAGGCACTTTCAGGCAGCCCAGTGCTTCACTCAAACTAGAACAGGTAGCTCAAGTCTCCATAGAGAAGTTCCAGCCTGCACAGGCACCTGCATGTTCAGCTCCACCAGAGGTTGAGTAAAAATTGGGGTAATTTAGACTAATATTGGACTCCGCAAGTTTTATTTCATGTGATGGAACAAGGGAGCTTATGAATAGCACTGCAAGTACAACACTGCAAGATGTTCTCTTGAATGAAATCGGCAGCTCATGGCTTTCCTCCTAGCTTCCCAACCTGTGTGAATGGATAATATGGCTTCTAAATGAGAAAACTTCTGTAAGTCAAAAAATTTTCAAAGATGTAAAAAAAAGAAAATTTGTACAGAAAGAGAAGAAGTATTTGTCTACTTTATGTGGAAGAGTTTTGTAAAAGTGTCGCTTTGAGCACGTAAAGTTGTATTTCTAATATAAGGATCCTTGTTCCAGTACACATGAAAGATGCCTATGCATCTGAAAATAATTGATGATAGACTGCCCCTTTTCTCCACCTCTGCTGTATCAGGAAGCTAGATTTCCTTCATCCACACAGCACAGGGCTGGATTGCTAATTTCACTGGAACACTCCCCTTTCCTGCACCACTTCTGTACTCCGAGAGGAAACAGTAAGAGGATCATAAATGACACAATTCCTTCACTGAACGACTTCATTGCTCTGAAGCGTTTGGTCCGTTTACTCCTCAGTCTTTGCCTAAAGCAGAAGCACACTACTCTGTAACCCTTGAACCAGAACAGCTCCTTAAGGATGCTCCCTAGAGAGAGAAAAATATAGGAACTAAACAAAAGTGTTAAATACACCATATACACAGATACTGTACAAAAGTTTGTGTCTTGTGTAAAAAAAACCCTGAATGTTCTGATATAAAACAAAACAAAACAAACAAAAACAAACAACCTAAACTTGGTTTCTGTCCTGCCAAAAGACTACAAGAGAAATTATGAATCAAGCTAGTTAACATGAAGGTCTCCTACTTGAGAATGCCAGGTTCTTACAAGAAGCAGATCTCTCACTCTTCACTGATGCTCAATAATAGGAGCTTCTCTATTTTCTCAAGCTCAAAAGACGTGGTCACCAGCCCTTATGATAGAATGGTTAAAAACTTCTTCACTCAGCACAGGCAAAATCTTTCTTGCTAATCTTTCTTCAGAGAGGTATCGGGAAGGCAACTACTTTATGTTTAGGAATAAGTTTGGACTGTATTCAGTACAATGCAAAACCCTTTGTTCAAGAACAGCCTTCATTTTCTTTTCAGTTTTGTGTCTCCTAAGAAATACCAGGAGTCATTTTCAATTAGAAATTCTCAGAAAAGTTGGCAGGGACTGGTCTGTTTCTTAAGCAGCTTCTCTTCCTTTGTAATCTCTCAGAACTGTTTCTTCCATTTGCTTCTACTGCCAGGACTAAAAGGAGACAGATTTATAGGCAGTGTAGAACTGTCAAAAGCAGCAGTCCCTTCCACACACCTTTGTCACCACTCACGCTCTAAGCTTGCTTCATACACCACAGCAATGCACTACACTCCTTTAGTTGTGGGAACTGAGTTTTTCAGCAAATATGGAAAGATTTTCCTGGCTTCCATGCTCAGTGAGTTACTAACTTAAAGTGCTAATTTTCAGATTTATAACTTGCTACATTTTCAGAAGCAGTTTCAACAGGTACCGGAGTTTGGCAAAACAGGCTCCCCTGAACAAGGGGCATCCTGAGAAAGGGAAGTGGGGGAGAGGGTGGGGGAGATTGCTTCCCAAAATGAACGTGGCAGGGCTGAAATGTGACCAAGCAGTTTGCAAATGCTACTAACTGCCTGAGTAATTTCTGAAATGACTCTGCAACCTAGAATTCAAAGTTATATGCAGAAAGATGCTAAATGGCAGATTTTTTTTACATGAATAGTCCCTGCAAACAAATGCAATAAGAATCCCATCAGATACCAATCATTTTTAAAACACTGATATTTTTGATTTTTTTTTTACAGCAGTTAACTGAATTACTGATATATATCCAGCCTTTTTCTTTCCTCCCCTCTAAAGACAAACTGCCTTAGGACTGAATCCCAGAAATAAGATGATGCTCTTGCCTTACGGAAGGAAGATAACCCACCTCGAACTTGGTTTGTCCCAGTTCTCAGACTGACTGGCCGCACAGCAGACACAGCAGAACGCGGCTGCCCCGCGTTCCCGCTGGAATGCCAGAAGTTGTCCCGGGCAGAGGGTGGCCGAGAAGAGTCACACTGCCAAGGTGAGCTCACCCAAGCACAGATCACCCTATGGCTGAACAAATGAGGTGGCTCCATACCTAGCAAGGCTGGAAACGCACGCTATACACTTCTTAGATACCACCGTCAGCCCAGAAGACTAACAAGTCAAAAGCAGTGGACTAAATCTGAAACAGTTATCCTGACCTAATTTTAAAACAGCCAAATTATTTTTTCCTCATCTAATTAAATTTCTGATATGTGATCGTAAAATCAGATTCAGTGCTTTGAAGTTCACTTACACTAGAATAGAACAAGAGCTACAAACATGCGTAGATAGATATTCTATAAAATACAAGACAGTTCAGCTTTAATTCACAAGATGTATTTGCAGAACTGCTTGATTCTAGTGACTGAAGAGCTCCATCTCTGTTAGCTGCAGAGTGAACATAAAGATACTTTTAAAATATATATTTTTGCAGCACCAGACACATTGCTTTGAGCTGCACTCTGCTTGAGCTTTAAGATGAAGACTTCATTAAAAACACTCCACTGACACCTGAAAAAGTATGTCTAATTGAAATGCCAAAACTGAATTAATTTTATGTTTCACAACGCTGAAATATTGCTGTCTTTGCAGAAAACCTACATGGCCCAGGTAAACATACAGAAACCAGCAACACTGCAACCAACTCCTTCTGCAACCTTTTGGTTCTTCTTCAAGCCTGCATTCTATTCAGTGAAAGAATTCAGGGCACGACAACTAACCAGCAGATCATCTCTAAGGTGTGCTAAAGCAAAGGTGTCTAATGTGTCTTTTTATACTCTCATTGGAATACGACAGTGTGGAACTTAAAAACAGAGATTCTAAACTGCTCAGTGAACACTAAATTGGATCTCACAGCAGTAGAAATGCAGAAGACAGAAGATCTCAAACTCAGTGCAATTGTGAGCACATTTTCTTTTCAGGAAAGGCCTATCTAGACATGCAACTACCAGATGAGAGATTTTATGATTACCTAAAAAAATACGTTTGATACAAGACCCAGGTTGTCTATACTGTTTGCATAAAAGCCTTGCACAGCGAGGCCAATGAAAAACATCTCAAATATGACAAGAAACGGTGAATTAATGTGGTAAAGGGTAACAATCACTCTTTCACAGATCTGCATGAAATAAGTGTTTTCCTAGTAGCCATCCATTGCATATCCCTGATTTTTGAGAGGTTCTGATCTTACCAGGAAGCACAAGGCTTGCTATGGTTTATTTGATTTCAAGAATATCCTTCTAGAACCTATCAGTTACCAGATATGCTTGTTCATGGTTTTGTGGCAGTTTTAAAGATAAATTCATCTACAGATGAGAAAACAAAATTCACTACACACACCTAGGAACATA